TTCGGACTGGCAGGCCTGGGTGCACACGCTTTCACTGAGCCTCATGATCATGCAACCTCTTGCCTCCAGTCGCCTCTTCTCTCCCCTCCCGCAGCCGCCCTGACTCCCAAGGCCACAGCCGGGGCGTTTGCCGCTACGGCCTTGTCACTTCTTCGTGACTCGTGTTGGCGCGTTGTTAAACAACTCCAACCCTTCGTGCTCGAGCCTGCCACTCCGGGGTTTGTTGGCAGCACTCGTTCCACGCAAGCGCTCCACGCAGGCATTGCGTGCCGCTGTCCACCTGTTGGTTACAGTGAATTCCAAAATGATTTCCACTACCAAAACCTCCATGCCCAAAGAAAGCCGAGGATTTCTCCTTTGATACTTGTGGATATGTTGCGGCTATCTGTAGATTGAATCGCAACCGTTTGCGTGCATCGTCAGGTCCTGCCCCAGATGGACGCATCCTGATCGGAGCACGTCTCGCTGTCTCGCACAGAGGCCCAGGCCCTGAGATCGTACAGAGGGCCGAGCTGCTCCCATGAGGCAAGCTGACCTGGGGTAAACGAACCCACAAAGGTCCATGTTGGGCTTCTCTTTCCATTTGGGGAATAGCCAGTGATTTTTCAATTGGCCTAAGCCATGGGCCTTTGCCCCGAATTTCCGATGTGCAGTTCAAGATTGCAAGGCGTATCTATCCAGCGAAAATGTGATGGACTGGCAATACTCCGCTACAATTCTAAATCCATCCATCCATCCATCCATCCATCCATCCATCCATCCATCCATCCATCCATCCATCACGTACCGATTCTAAATCGCTACGACCCAAAGCTGGAGAGTTTTCCAAAACTCTGCCCGGTGCCCGCACGGTGCCGTTTTCAAACGGGTCACCAGAACTCTCGATCCTTGAAGCCCACATTCAACAAGGAAAGCACCTAAGAGCACACTTGTCCCTTGAGTCTGGGCTGAGAGCGTAGGGCCGTGCTTGGGGGAGGGTCATGTCTCAACCAGAGACTCCACGTGTCGCAAGAAAACTCCAAGTTGGCGGTGATAGAAATCCATGAGACAAGCAGGAAAATAGTGATGCCATGTGACGTCGCCAAGAGACGGCACGTGCCGCGAATTGAATCATTGGCTGCAGCAATGAATGAACTGTGAGTCAAATGTTAGATTTCCCATGGCAAAGCGACCCCCGACCCAAGATGGAAGCGCGTCGTCGTGTTTCAGCGGCCGCATTTAGTTAGAGACGCCTCGAGACTTGCGAGCCTCAATTCAGAGAAAAGTGGGCAAGGGACTGGAGCCACCATTGCGGCCAATGGGCAATCCACAAACTAGTGTCCTTTTGGGCGGTAGGCTGCGGGTGGGTGGCAAGGATTCGAACGCATCTTAGGTCTTAGGTAGCTCCATCCAATAAGAACTTGGGATTGGCTAGCCAGATGTTTGAGGTGTTTCGGCCTTTCAATCTCTAGTATTTGTATTTCGACAATCATGCTGAATGGCCATGATTATGATGACTGAACAACCAAACAATGTATCAGTGCAAGATGCTTCCGATACCACCTTCATGCAACTGCTTCAATTCTGGCCGCTGAAGAAAGTCATGCCAATCCAAAAAGGGAATGGGCAACATATGCCAGAGGGATCGGTCGCTGTTGTGTGCAAGTCTGTGAGCAGAGGACCCTGCTATTGCCCGTGCTTCTTTGTGCGCGCGATTGTTTGTGTGTGTGGAGAACGTCAGTGGAATCAAAGAAAAACTTGCCCATCTCAATTCCTGATTGACAGCGTGTCCCTTGAGTGCTTGAGTAGCTGAGGGAAAAGACCAGCGAGCTGCATGCTAGCTCTTTGAGCAGGGGACAGGATAGGCATTGCCATTCGATCCGCCCGTTTGCTCGTTTGCTCCAGCAAGGTTTCCTTGTGCCTTCCGCTTCCTGCCGCTTGAAAGGATTCTGATCCACGATCAGCGTGCAATTGGGATGCCCACCTAGTCAGCTAGCCGCCAAGTTTCTCCTTGGATGAGATGAAGCTGTCGTAAGCACCCCACTGGCGGCTCCTTTCCTCAGTTGTTCAGTGGCACCCTTTTTTCCCCTTCTTTTTGGTTTGCTGCCCCAGAAAAAGAATGGCCTTCGCCAAAAAGGCTCCCTTTTTTTTCCAGGGGCACTGAACAACTGAGTTTCTAAGACCAAGTCTTGGGAGCCAAGTCACCTACGGCCTTGACTTGGGGTGTTGGGGTAGACCTCTTGTAGCTGCTTACGAGCCACGACTCATAGGCGTCATGGGCCGGGCAGCCCAAGCTACTCCGGGCCCCTCGAGCACACCTCTAGCTTTGAACCTCATGTCTGTTCGCCCGATTGGCGTGCCTTGTGCCCTGGCCGCACCTTTGCCACACCAAGGCAGAATTTGAGAGTACTGGAGATGAGTAGTTTAATCTCGCTTGAAAGCCCGGCCAAAAAGCAGTGCCTGGTTTCCACTGGCATAGGGGGTGTCGACGCTGGGAACTTTTCGCGCAGGAAACCAACCAGTTGGACTCATCTGAGAGGATGTCAGCATGCTACACCTATCTGGCGCGTCAACTGGTTCAAGATCCCGTGGTTCACATCTTGGTGTTCTTACAGAACCCGGGAAAAGTTGCCTCTATGTTTGAGAACCATCCATCAAGCGCGGAAGTCTGAGCAAGTCGGTACAAAGTGATCATCACTTTCATTCAGCATGCTATGAGGACCACGAGTCAAAAAGAATCCTATCACAGCAATCGCCCCCATAGCCCATGATTCTGGGGTTTGATTGAGCATAGATTCGCTCAAGCAGCAGGTGTAGTTTGCTGTCTTGCAGGTTCCAAGGTGGGTAGCAACGTTGGCTCTTGGGCTGGCTTCCCTGCAAATCCTTTCCCCCTAACACTAATCACGGCCAGCCCTATTAGTAGGTGTTTTTACTTGTAAGGGCAATCAGGGTCAGAACCCATAAGCAAATGTACCCATTCCTTAAAACGGGCCAAGATTGAACAAATGCAGACAAACTTTGGAAAGGGAAGAGCTCGTTGTTTTTGCTAGGTGTTGGTCGGCACAGACTAAGACATGGAAAGAAGGACAGACAGTCAGTGAAGTGTGTCCCTCACTGACCTTCCTAAGCTAGCAGTGCTGGGAAGGTACGCAGGCAACCCATTTTTGAAAGCAACACTTTGCTGGAAAATTGGACCTTGTTTTTTCAATCCTGGTTATAGGGTTAGTACGGGGAGCTAGCAAATGATCATCCTTTTTTGGAAGCCTTTGTATTTACTTTAAGGGAAAGCGCGGCGGTGTGTTTCAATTCTGGCTACGGGGTTGGGTACGAGGTTGGGCCCTGGAGTTCCCACTGCGTTATTGTAAAAGTGGCATAGACCCGGCGGGTTTGGAACAATGTGAATGGTGAAGGGGAACAAGCGGTACCAATCCTGGTATCACTTCCACCTATTTACCCATCAACGAGGTGAATAGGGGAAGGGATACCAGGAACCCATCAATGACGAAGAGCGAGAATCAAAGATGGGGACTTGGGCTGCTCGCACACAAACAAACCAACATCCAATTTCAGAGTTTGGCAGCAGAGTTTCTTTTGAGACTGCAGCGTTGCATCATAGGCACCTTGGTTGCGCCGGGCAAGGCGTCCGTTCTGAGTTTCTCATTGCACTACTCGAGTCACTGAGCTGCTGGCTTTGTGTTCGACCGAAACCGGAGAAGACTGACCTCGTTGCTGGGTGTTCGTTTAAACATTGCGACACAAGCATCGTTCGTTCTCATGGGAGGGCGGATTTGAAGACGCGAGGGCGACAGAACTTAGCATTGGTTCCGGCATCTTCGCGGCGTGCTTGCGCCAAAGCATGTACCGCCCCACAGCAAGCCTGATACCAATCCCATTTAGGGAGTGCATTTGGAGATGTGTTCAAGGCCGCCCAAGAACATACATGCTGAACATGTCACGATTGCCTTTCTCAGCATTGCAAATATATCATGGTCGAATTTGTTGCTGCCTGGAGTCTCCATGATCCTTGAAAAATGGGGTCATTACCCAAAATAATGGGGTCATTGACCCATTTCTAAAGGGTCATGGAGACTCCAGGTGTTTCCTTACTTGCGGGATTGTGCAACCAACTTTTCCGGCGCGGGAGGGACAAGCGAGTTTCGAGGCAGAAAAGTGAATCTGAGGACGTCAAGGTGTGTGCCCATGTCAATGTGATCGAAAATTGCAGGTCTTTGCTCTACACTCTTACACTCCATAAAAGCACTTGTCTTTGATCTGATACTTGAACCACTTGCACTGACATGGCATTCTGTCATGCTGACCCAGGGCCCCTCAAATATCCTTAGTAGGGCATTCTTCTGACTGTCTAGCACTCTGAACAAGGATATTTCCGTCATATGAACCGTGGCTGAGATATTGTGGCGGCGCTCTATATGACGCATGCGACGCATGCGGCGCTCGCTGCAACTTAGTAGCATGAAACTCGCTGGGAAAGGAGCCAGGGCTGGGCGGTGCATCTGGGCAAACGTCTCCTTGTTGCGGTTGTGGTGATGGCTGTTCTGACGGCCTCAGATGCAGAAGATTTCTCATGTTCTATGTCCCACCTTGCATGTTGTAAGATCGTATGCTTTATTTCGGTGTTCATGCTGAACTAACTGAGGTGTAAGCCATTTCTTGTCGGTGTAGCAAAGCGGAGTCGTTTGATTCAACCACTCCCCAAAGACTTACTCGTTCTTAGCAGGGAGTGCGTGAACGACCCTTTGAACTTTACAAACAAAGAAAGTGCATAGTTCTGTGAAGTTTGGAGGTCAGCAAGACTCGGCGCCTGGTACTAATTTGCGGAAAGCGATTCATCCAGGCGGTACTTTGAAGGCAAAATGGGAGGCTATTCCGTTATACATTAATTAAACACAAGGCATTCATATTTAGCCAGCTTTCCCCTAGGTAGCGGTTGGGGGTGGAGAAGACCCTCGTAAATGTTGAGACTAAACTGGGTGGTGCACCTTCCCATTGGTTTTGACTCACAGCCATGTAGGTGCAGCCAAAGCTCGAAACTATGGTAATAGCCCGCAAAGTTCCGCGGTCGGCCTGAGAATCACTGAGCCTGCACGCCAACGAAGGGACCGGGGCTTTTGGTGCCCTTTCTTTCCATGGAAAGCCACTCACAAGTTTCTGTGCTCTGACTGAACACGCTTTCTGGCTGAATATTATCGTAGAAGTTGAGTCTGTCTACCTCAAAATGCATCAGCGTTCAAACTGTTGCCCGAACTTCTTAACCCCTCTGACTCACTCGCAGTTTACCGGGTCTTGAAATAATCACTCAGCTTGCCAGAAAAAGACCTGGTTAGGTCATGTGTGGGCAAGTTCCATCAAGTCGCTTCCGAGGCACCCGGCAATATCACAATTGACCCGCAGGACTCGCAGGCATCCCGTGAGGTTGTTCTTTGCGGCTGGCAGTGAGGATCAAAACTCTGGGCCGAAATGAGTCGAGTTTCTTTTATTTTCCCTGGTTTGAACAGGAATTTGGTACTACTGGACACATTAACTTCATGTGTCCCAGGGGCGAACAAGCAAATGGGCGAAGACATGTGGCCATCTTTTGTAGAGAAGCTCTGAGTGGTGGACTTACATCGACTTGTAAATGTTGTCCTCTAAAGGGTCTCTGATTGGAATTCATACCGCAGTTTGCCTGTATTTTTGGTCAAACAAAGGACTGCTCCCTTCAGGCCACGCTCCCTTCAAGTTGCGGCACATCCAATAGGCTGTCCATTCACCCCGTTCAGTAGGTGCCCTGTTTGCCCATGTTTTCCTGCCACTGACGCAAGGCGCAGATGCAATCACCTAGCTTTTTTTTGATTTGGAATCGGTCAGGGCCATAGGTGTCCTTTTTGGTTGTTTTGCTAGAAACATGGATGGCTTGGTTTACCTGGTGGTTTAATCATCTACCAGGGATATCCATCTATTTCCCCTAAAAGGACACCTATGGTCAGGGCCCTTCTTTTTCCTTTGGGCCATTGGGCGTGTTCCCGTGCTGAACACGATCCTGGCCAATGGCCCAACTCTGGTCGGCAGGCCTACCCAATTGACCGCGTTGGAACGCGTCCATTTCCATTTCAGTGAGCCAAGTGACCCGCCAATTCCACGTTTTGTGTTTTTTTGTTTACTTCGATATTCCTGACAAGCAAAGGACCCTCGGCTTGCACGGCTTGTTCACTCTTGTTGTGTGCACTTTTGCAGATTGCCATGTTTAGTGATTTGATTTCTTCTTTCATTGTTACACTGTCTTGTGAATCGATGAATCAGTTGACCGCGCTTCGTGGTTGGTTCACGTCGGCGCTTTTCCACGACTTGATGGCTTGTTTTACTTGCAACCAGTTGGCATGGATCACTCCAACATACCAATCAACCTCACGGAAGTAGGACCTCATTACCGGGATCCAGAAAACCGAGGTGTGTACCTCTTTGTGGCTCTTTATACATATACATCATATAATATATATGTATATGCATATATATATATATGGTCACACACACACACCCATGAACTTCACTTGGGGTATGCGGTTCATCTCACCCTTCAAGACCACTAGTATTCACAGTTTTGTTTGCAGGTCTTGGATGTACAAATATATGGAGCTACTAGGCCGAATTTCGGTCTGCAACAAGGTGCTTCTCAGGAGTAAAAAAGTGTAACAAACACTGCTTTGCAGCTTTTGACTACAAATAGCCACCAAATTCCTCAAGCCAAAACACAACACAAAATGAAAAGGACAATTTGCATTCGAGATGCAATATTTGCTATCCCTGAATTTGTTCTGCTGTATCTCTCCTTGTACTCTTGAATTATTGCTACCAAAGGCGAGGATGCCACAGCTCTTGCTGGATGTGTTTTGCTGCCATCAAAAAGCAAGCAACTCGAGAAAAACCAAACAACAACTCGAGAAACTCAAAAACAAACAAATGAGAAAATGGCTGGTTTGGCCTCGGATTTGTGTTGTTTTGGTTTTCTCGAGGGTTTAATCAAAGAAATCAAACATGGTTGTTCTTGGCTTTTGATGAGTGAGGGGCATGAGACAACAAAAAGCAGTTTTTTGTTTGTTTGACTCCAAAAGCTCAAACAACAAGCACACACCGAAAACCAAACAAAGCCAAAAACCCGAAAGACAACCAACAACCTAAAACCTGAGGCCGGACCCGCCATTCTCTTGGTGTTTTGTTGTTCTCGAGGTGTTGTTTTTTGCTATTTGTTAGTTTATGTTTTTTCAATTTGTTTATTGCTCTGGTTGGTGTTCCTCGAGTTTTTGTTGGTGTTTGAGCTTTTGGAGTCAACATAACCAAAACACAGGGTGTTTTTTTGTTTTTGATGAGTGAGGCATGAGAAAACGAAACTGTGTTTTTGTTTGACTCCAAAAGCTCAACAAACAAACAAAAACAACTCGAGGAAAACCAAACAACACCCAAGACACATCAAAGGGGGGGGGGAAACGATAGTCTGAGGCCAGGCGAGCCATTCTCTTGTTTTGGTGTTGTTTTTGTGTTTTCTCGTTTGTTTTTTGGTTTTGTTCGGTTGTTTTTTTGTGGTGTTCCTCGAGTTGTTTTTGGCGTTTTTTTCTTGCTGTTTGGATATTGGTTAGCTTGTTTCAAGAGGAAAGGCCTTTGTAGACTCCAGCGATGTGCCAGGACCGCTCACTGTTTTCGCAGTTCAGGTCGCAATGTGAAGGCGTTGGCCAATAGGCATAAGGCTCCCTGTAAATCTGCTTGTAAGACTCCTTTTGAGGCTCCTTCTACAGCTCTTCTCACAAGGCTCACAATTCGCTTGCAAAGCTCCCTTTGAAGGTCACTTGTTAAGCTGCTTCAAAAACTTCTTACAAACTTCCTCATACAGCTCTTTATAAAGCTTCAGCTTCGTGTCAAGCTCCTTGCGCGACTTTTTTAAAACTGTTTTTCAGGCCCCTTGTAGGCTTCTAAAAGGCAAGATGCTTGTAAATTGTAAAACAAAAATAAGGCTCGCTCCTTAAAACGCCCCAAAAGCTCTTCAGACTTGAGAAGCTACTTATGGGGCTCCTTGTGCAGCTCCTGTTAAAGCTCCTTATAAAGCTTCTTTCAAGGCCCCTTAAAAGGCTAAGCATACCAATTTGGATTCGAATTTAAGTTTATTAGGAAACAGCTCTGTTAGAATGTCTTTTTTGGATGAGAATTTAAGGGGGATTTCTTCCCACATGATGTGAATAGTAGAATCTGCACAAGGAACAAAATCCACTAGACGTCGATTTTTAGTTAGGATTTGAATAAGACATCCCTCCCATGAATAGAACACAGCAAGGGAATAATTCAATTATTAATTGGTCCCATTACACCCTTAGCTAGTTGGAATTGTGATAGAGTTGAAGACAGACATAACTGCAGTCGAATGTATATTGTAATCGAGAATATTGTTTCAAATTAGGATGTTACTCTAAGTGAGTTGTTGTGCACATGGAATTTGAATGCCTATGCCAATTGATAACTTAAGTAGGAATTCCTTTCCAAACAGGATTTTTATCACTGATGCAGAGGCCGATGAATGGTTTTGACATGTTGGTACTTTGTGGGTGCAGACACAAATACGCAAACGCAGATGGGCAGATCTGCGGATGATCCGTCAGAGCTAGTTGAGTCAGACACGAATGCCCCAAATATAGTTCACGGGGTGGGGGCGGGGGGCGTGAGCATGCATATAGATATATGTGTATATGTGTACGTGTATATGTACGGCGGGTATATATCCAATAAAACCCGCGGGGGTGGTTTGGGTGGTCGTGGAAATCTCGGATTAAAACCGTAAACAAGGCGAAGACGACCGGTGGTTGCAGAAAGCTGGGTTTTAGGCCCGCTGGTTGAAGGAAGCTGAACCAGTGGCTTGGTGGAAGCTATCCATGTACGAACTTGACATCCCTTCCGGAAAGCCCGTGCAACATTTTGAGACGGGAGCTGCGACTAGTGGCCTTGGTAGGTGGTGGCTTCATGGACCTCTGGCTGCGTCGTTTTTTGAGTTTTTCGTTTAGTAGTCCTTTAAAAACAGCACAGGCCCATATATCATGCTGAGATCTTGGTAGAACCCAATTTCAACGGTTTCCGGGCGCTGCGCGTCCGGAAAAGCGTCAGGGGTGAAACCGCATGCCGCATGCACCCACGCACCTCGTACAGCCTAACATGAGGGCAGGCCGTGTATCCTGATCCAGGATGGCAGGTGCCGAGGACCAGTCAGAGTTCCATTGCAGATCGCAGTGACACGGACAGCCTGCTCCCGCACAGGCTCAGGCATTGTCCAGAAGCCACAGGCGGATTCAGCGCTTGGCCGCTTGCCGTGGCGAACGCCGATTGAAGGAGAAATCAATGCTCTTTCGTTTGCCAGGTCTTATCGCTGATTCCCTGACAAAGTCCCGCAAGCGCCATCTCCTCTCTCAGTGCCAAGTATAGAACCCTCAGCCTGCGCTGTGGTTCCAGTGCGGTGCGCAGAGCCGAGCACAGGCTCCTTGCCGCAGTGGGGCAGGGTAATTTGTTGGGCAGCGGGCAAACGCAGACTCGAATTTCGGCACAAGCTTAACAGTACACAGCCGCCTTCAAAGCCGACGCAGCGAAGCAAACAAGCTCGTGAGCTCAGCCCAGAGGGCGAGCGCCAATGGCTTCAGGTTCCACAAACGCAACCAACTTCGACAAAGTTAATCTGTTCTTGACGGATCCATCTCAGTCGCGGAATCGATCAGGTGCAAATTGACCGCGGTCCGTCCGGTGTGCCAATCCACGCTACAGGCAGAGGTCTGGATCACAGACTGCCAAAGCCTGTCCTGCGCACAGTCTGCGCAAGCGACAAGAGGCAATGATCGTCCTGCCTCGCCCATCAGAGAAGAGCCGCGTGCGGGTGTCCCGGGATAGGCCGGTGGACAGTGTAACCAAGCCGATGAAGTGGGGCGGGCGCTAAAGAGGAGTGTGAAACCGCATGTCGCGTGCATGTATGGCGATATCCGTGCGCCAAACGCTTCCA